AATCAAGTTGCGCACGTTAAAGATCCCTTGGTGGTCTAAAATCGATAAGAGTAGGCTTCGGTCGCCACCCGCGCAAAATTCAAAATTTCCTACCAACTGAAAATATTAGGTGTGTCCCATGCGCTCATATGACTGTATGCAGTTGCGAGCGCCGTAAAACACGTTACAAAAACAAACAAACAAAACAAAAGAAAATAGAACCCTTTTAAATCAGGGACAATTATAAAGCAAACGCATTTATTCACCACAATGGAAAAAACAGTACCGCTACAGTATTCCTAAATTCCCTATCAACCTCCTTCGAAAATATTTACTTTTTATTTCATAATATGAGTGGTATTACAGTACAGTCGAAATTGTCTAATTCGGCCATTCATTGTTGAGGAGAAAAGTGGCCCTCTTCGACAGGTGTAAGTCTTTCACAGTGTCATTTCAGGGTTCCCCCTCACCAAGGATAAAAATATTCCCACTTTTCCCCCGGTTTCCTCACAGATTTTGTGATCATTTTCAAAGTGATTAAAAAAAAAAAAAATGATGACAGAGTAAGGAAGAATAAATTAACTGAAATGCAAGAAAAAAAATCGTAACATGAACACGGACAGTCTCTTTTCCTGGGGTGTCAGTGTCAAGGACAGGGATTATTGGATAATCATAAGTTGTGTAAAGTTAACAAAGGAGTGGTGAAAGCAGTCTCGGCAGGGTCATAGTTGTCGGGTTCTTGGGAGAAAAAAAGGAGGGAGAGGCTTGACTCTTGCAAAAACAAAAGAAACCGTCAGTTCACGCCACAAGCCTTTGATCTTAACTGCACATTACTGCAAAACATGCTGCGCAATGCAGCTGATTGTTTTAAGTTCAAATTTGATCCGATTAAAAAAAAAGAATATTCTCTCAATGGTCTGGGCTGTCACTCACAATGCATAGGCGCAAGAATTTTTAACGTCTTGTCAAACTGATGTCGACCTTACTCATGGCTAATGTTTTTCTGGGGGCAAAGTGGTACTGGGCGAATACAAGGGCTCAGTTCACAGCAGGTGTTCAAATTAGCTGCACGTGACATAGTGGCGTAGACTGTCGGAATCTGACTTTTCCTAACTTATACGCCGGGAAAGTGGGGATGTGTTGGGATAGTCGAACGGCAAATGGTTTTCAAAAATTGGAATCAGGGCTGGGGTGTTACAACAGTACTACTGTGAAATCGAAATTTTAAAAAAAGTTTTAAAACTTTGAAGATTCCACCAAATTCATAATTATGGGCAGGCAGCCCTTTGATTTCCTGGCTTTCTTCCATTCATTTTCGTTTAAAGTCATTTTTATGGTGTTCTTCCCGATTTGGGATATCTGAAAATGAAATTTCCGGCCTTTTCCCTGTTGAGTGGGAACCCAGCGTTTTAATGTAAAAAATACTCGTGGACGTTTGTTCAGGTCATTGTCTTATACAGGTGGTCGTTTGAGCAAGTTCAACAGTAATTTTTCCATCAGCTGCTATCTTCTGCCACCTGTTCCAGTTAAGTTGGTCTCTGTTGAGTTCATGTCTTATCTTTGTATCTTAGTACGAAGTGATTATTCGGACTCGAGTCCGAATATGAAAAAATGTTATTCGGACTCTGATTCTTGTCCAGCATGACATCACTTCCGATTTCCTGTGACTCGTGACTCCGGCTTCCTGTCCTGCCTCACTCATGACTCGCCTCAGGCTGGGTAGAGACCGGGATTACTTCGGGCAAAAAGGTGCTTTGTGCAGGAGCCGAGTTGTTTTATCTTATGATGAATTTGAGGCCGGCCTGAAAAGTTATAGCGCTTCTAATAAATGCTTATTTGTCAAGAGGTCATCAGAAGCAATTAAAGATGGCTCGTTAGCGTGTGTCGGGGTCGGATGGGCGGCCTGCACACGTGTGGCTGTGTGCGTGTCGGGGGGGGGGCACTATCGGTCCAGGCGTTGAAAGTCGCATACGCGTCAGTCTTTCCCCCCCCGGCAACTGATCATTATTACAATAATAAGCTAATCTTGACGTAGATCTACGTAATGAATTGTGCGCTGGTCTATGGAATCAAAAGTTGCCGTATGCTCAGCTCTACACAGCAACACAACTTTTTCTTGGTAAATAATCGAGATGACACAGGCTTGTGTATTTGAACGAATCTGTCTTTTTTTAAAAACACAGCTCATAATATGCAGGTGCCAGGTGGTCTGCTAATCTTCAATTTTACCCTTTTCTACAACAAAGAAAGTGGGAAACATGGGGGGTGGGGGGGGGGGGGGGGCGTATCAATGAGGCGGCGGGCATCGGATCGGCAGAAAAGGTGTGGGGGAAACAAAAAAATGGCGGAAAATTGGAAGCACTGAACGTTAGATCTATAGAACGAAGACACTTCCTTTTTTCCGGACCCGAGTGCGAATAACATTTTTTCATATTCGGACTCGAGTCCGAATAAGAATTTTTTTTATTCGGACTCGGACATCTTAGTAGGTAAAGACCAATGATTTTCTGATTACCATTCTTCGGTTCATTGTATTTTTTTTTGTGCTGATGACATCGTAATGTAGTGGCTTAGCTACTGAACACAAAATAATAACAACAAAATTAAAATCAGCTTAGCAATAATTTTCAGATTTATGCTTTGCTATAAAATTTCGAAAATCTAAAAAACCACACAACCAGCAACACTATGCTTCACTGCAACCATCCAACATGATCACCAGTCGAAGAATGAAAAGAGAGAAAAACACATAGGCCATGTCATGATGAATGCCACACGATTTATAAACTGGATATCAGCGGTAAAAATAAAACTACATTGATGCTCTAAGTATAACAGATAACAGGGAATTATTTACAAGACAACCTAGAAATATCCAAAAGACAACAGACAAAAACTAAAACAAAAATCATTCTTTTACTCGATTACTTCTAATTCTACTCCCTGGGCCTCAAGCATGAGCTGACAATCTTCGTGAATTTCACCATTCTACTTAAAGTAATTGCTTGGAATATTTTGCCACCATCATAAAAACATAGAATACATGGTCAAAATGGCTCTGTTGGAATGAGTGATAGTATGCTTTTCTTCTCCTTTGTATCAGAGAAATTCACAAGAACAACTTATGATGTAATAGACCTGCAAGTGAGTCTCAACAAGATTGTCTGAAAATTTTGCGCACCCCACAACCCGGAAGGACTTCCATGAAACAAGCGACCACCGCAAAAAACACAATAAAGAAGAGACCTAACCTTAACTCAAACCCTATCCCCAGAAAAGAACCTGCAACGGCCCTCATGATATAAAAAAGGTAGCGTCAATTGCCACCGAGTGACGCGGTGGCAATTGACAAAAATTGACTTTTTGTCAAAATTGCCACTGAGTGAAGCGGTGTCAAGTCTGATTACAACACTATCTTTAGCATTATACATACAATGTGTGTCTAATGGGTCAATTTGTTCTCAACAAATTTCATTGGACGAACATCTAGTCTAGAGCTACGGTACCAACTTGGCGTGTTTTCAATGTGACTTAGGCCTAGATCTAGGCTAGCCTCAGCCTACACTTTGGTGTAGAACCAACACAGGCAATTCTAGAAGTATAAGGCAAGGTCACAACCTCAAACAGAAAAATTCATGTTATACCGGGGAACATAAATCGGGGGACGGGGGTCAGGAAAAGACACACACACACACACACAGAGGGACAGAGAGGCGAACGCACAACACCGAGCACAATATGCTAGATCTACCCACTAACGCAAAAGAGCTCCAATTTACACGGTGGCAATTGACACTACCTATAAAAAAAGGCCTCGAGTCCGAATATGAAAAAATGTTATTCGGACTCGGGTCCGGAAAAAAGGAAGTGTCTTCGTTCTGTAGATCTAACGTTCAGTGCTTCCAATTTTCCGCCATTTTTTAGTTTCCCCACCTTATCTGCCGATCCAATGCCCGCCGCCTCATTGATACGCCCCCCACTTTGTTGTAGAAAAAGGTAAAATTGAAGATTAGCAGACCACCTGGCACCTGCACATTATGAGCTGAGTAAAAAAAAAACCGAAGTGACTATTTCTCCGAACGTTCGGAGAAATAGTGTCGATCTTTATTTCTCCGAACGGTTTCCGGCCTCGTGATTTTTTGTCTATTTATTGCGAGAGTTCGGCGCCAACTTTCATTCTGCCTCTGGCCTCTGGTCTGGGAAGGAACACCGCATGGCAAGCCCGCCTACAGACAACCTTCAGTAACACCCACCACCATCATGCACATGTACACACACTAACTAAACATGACCAGTGGGCAACTTTTGAACGTATGACGAGCTGAGCTGTGGACGGAGAGACAGTGTGAGTGAAAGAGCGGGTGAAAGGAAGAATGTGCGAGTGTATCCACAGGCGACAGCAACTACAAGACAAGACGACGACACCGACCCCCTGGCCTGGTCCACCATGGACAATAATATAGGCAAAACACTGCCTGAGCTGCATTCCGAATGCAGCTCAGGCAGTGTTTTGCTTATATCATTGTCCATGGTTCGCAGGGTGCAAAGGAAAGAATGATATTTTCTTTGTGTGTGCCTGGAGGGAGGGGGTGGGGTATGAAGAAAGTCATGCGGACAGGGATGAGCCGCGGGAGAGAACACGGGAATTGAATGAATGAGGGAAACTGAAAGAGACGAACGACTCATGAGCCCTGGAGTGAATGGATCCTGTGTTTCTATTTTTGTATACTTTGAACTGTTACTGAATACATTACAGGCTGAAATAAAGCCTGAAAACACACACACACACACACACACTCCTCACTCTCCACTTACTACCACACACAGACACACTCACACACGCACATACATACACACACACACACACACACACACAGGAGCAAATTTTTAGGTCTATATCTATTTCAATTTTCAAGAGCTAGTCTAGAGATCTTTAGATGAGTGTAAAAACGTGAAAAAGAAAGGTTTCACAACAGAAAGAAATCAAAATTAGAACAGCCCATAAACAACAACAAACATTAACAAATAAGGGCGTGTGTCCACCTGTCCGAAGAAGATGGGCTGTTTTAACCCTAAATGTGCGTAATTAAAAAAAAAAAAGGACAGGATATTACATGTAAATTATGGAATCACACACATTAAGGGGCTTTGCCAGTGTCAGTACATTGGTCGCAGCAGTGACAAACGCAGATGCCAGTTCTATGTGTCGTTATCAATAACCCTCCGTAGATCTAGATCTAGATCTAGACAGCACACGAGTGAACACAACACATTACGTTTAAGAGCAGCACCCTTCATAGGCAACACGCCATATCTGTAGCGAAAAACTGTTTGGAATTGTAGCATTTGTTTATATAAATATTTACTGCGGACATTTTTTGGACCGATTGAACCATATTGTATACGAACAATCTTTGGTAGGCTTATACTATAATTATAGATCTATATAATATCCGAAATTTGCGAGAAAGGATGTGATTTCAGAGTGTTCGGAGAAATAGTGCCCAGCTTTATTTTCCCGAACGTTCGGAGAAATAGTGCCCAGCTTTATTTTCCCGAACGTTCGGAGAAATAGTGCCGGCCAAAAAAAAAAGACAGATTCGTTCAAATACACAAGCCTGTGTCATCTCGATTGTTTACCAAGAAAAAGTTGTGTTGCTGTGTAGAGCCGAGCATACGGCAACTTTTGATTCCATAGACCAGCGCACAATTCATTACGTAGATCTACGTCAAGACTAGCTTATTATTGTAATAATGATCAGTTGCCGGGGGATAAAAGACTGACGCGTATGCGACGTTCAACGCCCCGACCGATAGTGCCCCCCCCCTCCCCTCTCCGACACGCACACAAAGCCACACGCGTGCAGGCCGCTCATCCGACCCCGACACACGCTAATGAGCCATCTTTAATTGCTTCTGGTGACCTCTTGACAAATAAACATAAAAATTAGAAGCGCTATAACTTTTCAGGCCGGCCTCAAATTCATCATAAGATAAAAACTCGGCTCCTGCACAAAACGCCATTTTGCCCGAAGTGATCCCGGTCTCTACTTCTACCCAGCCTGAGGCGAGTCACGAGTGAGGCAGGACAGGAAGCCGGAGTCACGAGTCACAGGAAGTTGGAAGTGATGTCATGCTGGACCAGAATCAGAGTCCGAATAAAATTTCTATATTCAGACAAGTCCGAATAACCACTTCGATAAAAAAAGCCAGCACACTGCTGGCCTAAAATGCTATAGATCTAGACTTAATTAATAGGGTTTGATACAATAACACAATAGAAATGGAATATGAATCGTCCATATAGTAATCTAAATAAATCTAGATCTAGATGTAGTACAACAAGTGAATAGGAATTGGCCTTGAACGAGAAATCCGCATCCGATTCTGAACAGAGAGACTCAGCTGAGTCTTCTAATTAAAAACGGCCTCACGGCACACACCTGATGAAATGCTCTTTTTCCACCATTAATATCACAGCACAAACTATAATAGGGTTTGACACAATAGAATTGGAATATGAACCTTCCATTGAGGTCTATAATGATCTATACTATAAATCTAGATCTAGATTTAGAAGATCTAGATCTAGATTCTAGATCTAGTAGAAAAGTGAGTAAGACTTGATTACTTGAATGAATCCACATCGGAACAATCAGTCAACTGACAAAATTTAAAATGGCCGCTCAAGCACGAAACTGAAAGTAGATAATTTAGATTAGGTCGTCGTCCTTTTTAGTGTTCGTATTTCTACTCAAGTTCTGACAATTATGTCAGAAACGCCGACGTCGGCACGAAAACAAAAGTGCCGACAAAGTCGACAGGAGAAAAAGGGGGCGCTGGCAGTCGGCCAGGCCTCGCACTTCGCATATTGAATTGATTGATAATCATACCTGAGGTGGGCCTCGCGATAGCATTTTGGACGGCTCGCGGGTCGGGTCGCAATTGTCGGATTTCAGACGATGGTCAGCAAACATGCAGGTCTATGTATAGTATAGATCCTCCTAGGCCGACACATCAAACTTCAAATCAAACCACTATTATACCATCTGTTCATGACGGGGAAAGGACTTCCGTAACGAGCGTCCACCCCATCAAACACAATAAATTCAATAAAGAAGAGGCCTAGAACCTTAACCTAACCCTACCCCTCAATTTTCGGTGCTTTTTCGGTAGTTCCCACCCCCCTTATTTGAGCCTGACCTACATCTAGATCTAGATCTAGTTCTAGTTCTATACATTTGATTTGCGGCAAGCTATTCAAACCTAACAACTGCAAAACATTAAATTGTGGTAAAATTCAGGGGGGCATGCCCCCCTACTCTTGGGGCCAAAACCGGCGGATAACAATTGCGGGGTGGGAACTACCGAAAAAGCGCCCAGAATTTTCTGCTCTGTCGAGTCATGTGGTCTCTCGTTTATGGAAGTCCTCCCATTCATGACAAAATTATCAGTTCATAGTTTTGAAGGTCTGAGTCGGGGATCAGTAGACTTAGGGAATTTAACATGCTATAAGTATATGATCACCCTAGATTCTAGATATCTAGAATGTAGAGTCTATTAATAACTATTATTTCTAACAAGAACAAAAGTTACAAGAAGCCATATTGTTGTACTGTAGGACACCCTTCACCAATCCAATGTTTCACTTTCATTCATGTATAGCTACTGACAGGAAAGTAAACTCAAGAGAACATACTGCAGCCACACGACACTCAAAACAACCTGTTCAGAAGACACCTAGGCGCGGTGGTAGTGTGACAATCTGTAACTCCAACTCCTAATCTGTTTAGATTCAGGTGACACTTATCCTATGTCCTATGGCTCTATCAATCTCCACACTCACACATGATCAGATCTCGCATACAATATGCCCACACCATAAACGCTACATTTGCAATTTTCCGCCTACTCAGACGGTCTTTCAATTATCTATATAATTACAGAAAGTCACGTACTTTAGCTTATGACGACTTTATAGGAATCCTTCGTAATCTAAGTTATCATCAAGGAGTTTCCTCTCTCATTCTTTTCACTGCCATTTTGCCAACCCGATAGCCAGATAAATTTCTATCTTAGACAACTCCGATTGTTTATTTCTCGAGTGCAACGCGGTCTTGATTCCCAATTGCGTTGCAACGATCTAGGCTAGGCCTATTGCTTCTTTTGCCTTAAAAGAATAATAAAACAAGACCAACAAATCTTGGTCTCTAAAATAGAAACGTTTTTCATTCTATTTAAACCACAAAAACAAGAATGAAACAGAAAAAGCCCGAGATTTTTCACGATATAAAGATTCGTCATGATAAAATATTAGATCCACTCAACTTATAAGATTGTAGCTGTCCCCCCCCCCCCCCCCTCTTTTTGGGAGCTTCAGCTTTCAGCATTTCTTGTCTTTGATTCATGATCTATTCTACAGGTGTAAAATTAATGTAATTCAGTATAAAAGAAAGAAGAAAGGAATAATCCATATTTTCCCCATCTTAACTATTCCTCTTTATTCTTACCATTACATTTCCTAAAATTGTCACTAATGGCGAAGATGATAACATCAAAAAAAAAAAAAGAATCTCATAGACTCTTTGTCCACGACAAGCAAGTTATGTTTTGAGGACTGTATATTGATAAAAGACAGCATAATTTGAAAGACAAATTTAATAATCTGAAAGACGGCTGTTATGACATTTCTTTGGCACTTAACTTCTTGTTATCCATTTTGGCATACAAGAATCCCTCACCCCGACCATGACCTTTCACTTCATTACAAGGAACATGAACTCGATTTTATATTCAAGTGGGTTTGAATGTCTCAAGTAGAAAATTCTAAACATATGGACAGCTTGATTTGAATACTTAATAAACATACCGAGTCCTGAAATATGTTTATGTATTTTATTTACCCGAAATGGAAACAAATAACAACCAACAAACGTATTGATTTATGAAATGACATCATCATTTTTTGTGATGAAAGATACTACTTTTTACTTGAAGCTCTTTTATCATGAAAATATAAAAATATACAAAGATGTAAACAACAAGCTCGGCGACAGCAGGAGAGAGCTTGCCGTAACAAAGTTATGTTAGATCTAGATCTAGATCTAATCATAGACTAATCTAGTGTCTTCGAACTCCATATGCAATACTAATTCCGAATGGACTAGATCTAGACATAGATCTAGAATCTAGATCTTCCTTGTTCAGTTTGATACTGACCCGGTGATTTGGCACGTTAAATTCCCAAAGCCCAAAGTCTACTTATCTACTAATCCCCGACTCGGATCTTCAAAACTTTGAATTTGAACTGGGCCTTAAAATGCGCAAGCTACCGTAATTTTGTCATGGGCAGATGATATAACATTGGTTTTTGGTCTTCTATCATGATTTTGGAAGCCATTGATGAGTAAGATCTAGATCTAGATCTAGAATCTAGATTTAAAAGTGGTCGGTCGTTACGGAAGTCCTCAATTGAAGAATTTAACGTGCTAAAGTATAAGATCACCGACCCAGAAACTATTCCCAGTGACACTGGGAATAGGCCCAGAAACTAGATCTATTCCCAGTGACACTGGGGATAGGCCCAGAAACCACTGGCAATAGGACCTAGGGCACAATTGTTCCCAGTGTCACTGGGAATAGGAATAGGCCAAGAAACTATTCCCAGTGACAGTGACACTGAGAACAGACAGGCCCATTAGATCTATTGTTCCTGCACTGATCTACATGGGCATGATGATGATGGGTTACTAAATACTAGACTATATTTTATATCTAATTTAGATCTAGAAATCTAGATCTAGATCTAGATTGTTATATATAACTAAACTAAAGTAGATTCTGGAGTGAGTGGAACATTTTTTTAAAGAAAAAGGAAGGATCATTCTATATTGTTGGCTTGTTATTCAGTCGTAATTTAAATGTATGTGTAGATCTAGATCTAGATCTACGTACGGATTTTGGAGACCACGGTACAGGACAGATAGAAATCCTTCTCGACTCTTCTTTCTTAAACTAGATCTAGATCTAGATGGCTATTCTATGGTCAAGTCTAAGCCCTAAGTAAGAGAAGAGAACAAAAGTACTGAACTGAAACTGAAGTGAGAACATAGGCCTTGTCTTTCAAGGCTACAGTGCAAAGCCTTCTGATTTTTTTAAAATGCAAAAGAGTTCCCTTGTCACTGGGAATAGTTTCTGTATCTATCCCCAGTGTCACTGGGAATAGTCATTTCCATATAGATATATATATCTAGATCTAGGCGCTCTTTGGTCCACTTTGGAAATTGGGCGCTCTTTGGAAATGGCCTTCCCGTGCCATTGGCAGCCATTTGGAAACTGATAGATTTACTGATAATTTGCCATGTAAACATGAAGATTGTATGGTTTTTAAAAATTATTATTTTTGCCAGGGGGTGCCGGCGCTTTTTCGGTAGTTCCCACCCCGCAATTTAGCAATGCCCACCGAGCGAATGGATATGAATGAAACTTGGCAGCCAATCAGCAAAGAGGTCAAGCTCGTAGTATGCAGTTTGATAACTTTGTACCCATCCAAGAAGCAGTCGAAAACGTTTCGGAGCTGTGATTTGTCAAACTGACACCATTTTTCTTTATTCCCTTAAAATTTCATGCTTCTGTGTTTAGCGGTTTTGGCGTAATCTTTAAAAATGTGGGAGTAACTAAGGGAAAAGCGGCATTGCCATTTGCGCGTGCTGGGTGAACGACCAGCGGCTGGGAAATTTCCACTGAGTGACATCATCAGTCATCGGGCGCTACGAACGAGGCCCCGCTTATGTGAACCGGAAAGGGGGGAAAGGATACTTGAATACTAAACAGGGGGCCTTGATAACTTTCATTTGTGTTGCATTTTAGTCACAATACGATAGAGGTAGTCATTTTTATTTGCTTAATTGCTTGAGAGAAGAATAGAAACAGAAAAGCAAACATCTAAGAAGTGGTATGACATTGTGTTTGCCTTATGAAAGCCTATTCCCCCCTCTTGGGAAAGCACACACTTGGACTCGTCCTGTTTGCTCTGTTTGGAAAAATGAGGCATTAAGATTGTTTTTAAAGAGTGTATGGTACTTATTTAGTCCAGTCTGGGAAGATAGTCCCGTTTATTCATTGTTATCGTTCACGCGTGCGTGCATGAGTGCGCGCGCGTGTGTGTGTGAGTGTGTGTGTGTGTATGTGTGTGTGTGTGTGTGTGTGAGTGTGTGTGTGTGAGATAGAGAGAGAGAGAGAGAGAAGGGGGGGTTGGGGTAACCGTAAATATCTGTTACATTTATAGTATGAGTTGTAGCCTACACATGCAAAATATTCCCAGGACTTGTAAACTATAATAATATTATCTAAAGGCATCTTAATCTACCACACATAAGAAACTGTCCAACAATGGATATATATATATATATATATATATATACAGAGACGATCTTATTTTCTATTAACAATTACAAAGTGTGCATGCTTTTACTAGTAGAGAACTGGATTTATTAGACTAATAAATCCAGCTCTCAACTTAAATTTTTGTGACAAATTGATCCAGTGCATTGCTTAACAAGGAGGAATCTTTTACGTTGCCAAGTTTCATTCAAATATCATGTCTTTGGGAGAAGATAATATATGACTGATAATCTTTGTAAATCTGTAAAGAACACCACTTTTTTTTACCTGTAAATGTCTTTACAACTCAAAAAGTAGGATAGATATTACAAATCTGACAGCATGACTAGATTCTGCATTAAAAACTGTACTAGACTACCAAGTTTCATTTACATACTCAAAGAAAAGAACAGAAGAACGTTCAACCAGATGTGCACTGGTACAATCAGTAGAAGGACCCTCGGCAACATTTTGGAGAGAGCAACGGAGCATCAATGGACATGTCCGGAGTGCAGGGATGTTGTTTCCTGATACAATGAACAATGAACTCCAAGAAATAGGCGAGCTATGACAAATATTGTCTCAACACACACCGAAAACCGCCACATTTTTACCAAAAAACGTCTTCATAACTCAAAAAGTAGGATACCTATAAGAAATCTGAAAGAAGAACTAGATTCTGCACTAGCAAATGTACTGGGCTGCCAAGTTTCATTTAAATACTCGGAGAAATGAGTAAGTTATGACGAATATTGTCTCAAAACTCACCAAAGAACGTCCCATATTTTGGGGTTTTTTCATTATATAAAAATTCGTAACTTTTTTGTTTATTGATAGATTTAAAAAATTCAAAAAGCTCCATTCTCAGTGGAGATACAGCTACAAAATGCACCTATTTGCAAAATTTTTTTTCGTGGTCATTGCTACGCAATTGTTATTCACCGGTTTTGGCCCCAAGAGTAGCGGGTGGTTTCAGGAGCCACCCTGACCTTATAATAAATATGTCGGGGGGTTTCAGGGGGGCATGCCCCGCTGAATTTTACCATAATTTGATGTTTTGCAGTTGTTAGGTCTGATATCTTAGCTCGCCACACATCAAATATAGATCTAGATGTAGATCTAGGCTCGAATAAGGTGGGTGGGAACTAGGGAAAAAGCACCGGGGTGCCTGCCCCCCTGAAACCCCCTTCTGACATGGGGGGCATGCCCCCCTTCCCCCTGAATTAACCCCCCACTGTATGGCTAGTGTGCATTAGTAAACACGTTGGGTTCACCAAAGTTTAATCTGAGGTTAGCCGGCTTGACCCTGGGGGAGGGGGGGGGGGGATGTTCAAGGTTGATGCTCCACAGCATCATGTTAGTCACTGTTAGTGTCCGAATAGTCACAGTCACGGTTGTCATTTTGGAGCCGAATCCCAGAAATTAGGCTCTTTTGGATCGTGTCTAGCCCGGAGAATTTCTTTTGGCTCTCTGTCTCTTTTTGGCTCCAAACTCCTTTTGTTCAAGAAGAAGGGGACAGAAGAGGCAAAAAAAAAAAAAATGAAAATGAAGAAAAGAGCTTGGATTGTTTAATTATTAAACTAGATTTAACGCCCTCGTCTATTTGGTCTGAATAATTTACAGCCCTTCTACTGTCGTGCTTGTGTCTCGTTACATTTGTACACTCTCTGTTCCTTGAACCATAATTTATTGTGTGCAGGCAGAGAGTGAGAGGCCTGCCATCGTTAAGTGTGTAAACATCGAATGGTCCGGCCAGCGGCCAGTCCCACATCCCGCTCAGTAGCGTCGGTAGGGAGCCTTTTTTTTACTGGAGAGGCGAAAAATGTTTTTGCATAATTATTATTCGTTCCCAACCACATGTGGTAAGCCACCAAATGCTTTTAGTTTTAGGTGATTTTATCAGCCTGGGAGAGGTCAAGGGGGAGTCCTCGCCTCATGCCCCCACAGGGAGAATAGTGAGACATGGGTCATTCTCACCCAGGGTGAGAATAAAGGTGGCCATTTCCAAAGAGCCCCATATGAGTTTCTCATTATAGTGGCTATTCTTGGTGAGAATAAAAATACGATCGACCTCTCACCCCGTGTGAGACTTCTCAGAGCTGGCTATTCTCACCTAATTTCTGAATACTGTCCATCGGTGCGGATGATCAAATGGACAAAAACAAAGAAAAAATGATGTTATAGCGCAAGGGTAAACTAATCTGGTTGTCTACAAAGATGCTATGGCCATTTCACTTTTCGAATCTAGCTGAACTACGTGGGTCACCATTTTGTTTTGCCCGGAAATTCTCGCTAAATCTACACCTTCTCTCTTTCTTAATACTGTCTATTGCCGTGCTATTGGTTTGTTTTAGTAGAGGTTTTTTACGGCGCTCACAACTGCATAAGGTCATATGAGCGCCAAAGGGTGGATGTCAACCGAGAAGTCCTTACAGGGAATCAGACTTACTTTGCCCATCTCTCAAGCTTCTGCAGCGCAAAGTCTGCTTCGACTATCCAGGCACCCTGGAAATAGCAGGGCACGAGAGTGTGACAAACATGCAAAAGAAGTAGAGGAAAATGACGATAGTAAGGATTGGGAAAGAAAAAGCAAGCAGTTCTCTGTTGTAGTTCAGGCACAGTTATGAGCATGGCATTGTTAGATCAGCCCATTTACAATCTACTGTGCACTAGAACGAGAAATGTCCTGCCTTTGGGAATGGTCTAAAGACACTTCAGTCAGTGCCACCGCCGTGTGGACAATCAAATTGACAAAAACAATGAAATAAAAGTTGCAGCTATTTCACTTTTCAAATTGAGCCGAACTACGCGGATCGCCACTTTGTTTGCCCGGAAGTTCTCTCTCTCTCTCTCTCTCTGTCTCTCTCTCTGTCTGTCTCTCTCTCTCTCTCTCTCTCCCTCCCTCCCTCTCTCTCTCTCTCTCTCTCTCTCTCTCTCTCTCTCTCTCTCTCTCTCTCCCTCCCTTCCTCCCTCCCTCCCTCCCTCCCCTTCTCTTTCTCTCACTGCCCACAGACAAAATTGCACGCTTTCAACACAAGAGCGCTGGAACATTTGTTCTCAGTGAACGCTAGGCCTTTACTGGTTAGCCTATCACAGTGAACACACACCGGGTGAGTATAGCCAAAAGGCTCGCCTGTGCTATTTAGAGGTGGCCAGGGTCTTTAATAATTCTTTTATTATCAGGTGGTCAATATGGAGGACAAATGGAACAATTTGGTAGTGTTTGCTGTCACCAGCTACCTTGTCACAAAATACATTCTTACAAGAGGGATGCTATGGGAGAATATATTTTTGGCAGGTATAGTATTATTTTAATTACACCTACTATTTGAAGTATGCCATTATTATTAACGTTTTAGGTAAATGATAATGCTTTATATGCATGTTTCCAATTTAATATAAAATACTTGCGGGTATTGAGAATGACAATTTCTGTCTCTTTTTTGTTATTTTTATATGAGTACCTTGGACTTAACTAAACTTAATATAATACATTTGAATTAGTTTTAGGTCTTTGTATGGTTTAAGTCCACTGCCATGGGCTTTATTTTAATTTTTTTTTGTCATTACCTATTTTGTACACCTAATATTTCGTTATACTGAATAAATGAGCACAACTTGTACTAACCAAGTGTATGATGGTCAGATGTTTTTTTGGTATAAAAACTGTGATGCCGTACCTTTGATCTTAGATGAAATGTGAAGGTTGTTCTATTGACTATTATAAGCATTAATTAACACATTATTACTCTGAGGGATAACAGTCACATAGCTTGCTAAGTGTGCTTAAAACTCTATACTTTCAAATTTGTCCTAGACTTCCATCTATTGTTGAGAAGAAAAGTGGTCATCTTAGACAGGCTGTCCTGTGAACAGTGGGAAGTGGTTGTTTGTACAGGTAATTGTTTTAGATAGGCGATTATTAGAGTACGTTTGACTGTATATCATGTATATTGTGTTTTAGATTCTCTTTTTGGCAGCTGTTTTCTTGACTGAGTGCTTCCTGCTGCTTATCTTGACAAGGCAGAATGATCTTGCTGTGAGACAAGTTAAAAACTACAGGTAGAGTACTCACACACTTTCTCTCCAGATGGATTACTGGTTTATCGAGTTTCCTGAGCTGTAATCTTTCTTTGAAGAATTAAATCGAACCTGTCTGAAGCAACTTCCCATTTTCAATTGGAAAAAATAGTCATCTCAGAGTGGTAGCCCTTTTGGACTGCCATTATATTATAGAAAAAGTACAAGGTGGGAAGTGGTCATTTGTACAAGTGATTGTTTTGGACAGATAGTCGTGGGTGCAGGTTCAACTGTACTTTTCTCTTTATAAAATTGCCAGTAATTAAAAGCTTTGTCTCAAAAGGATAACAGTGTAAGTGGTTCTTTAATCTTTGCCTAGCACTGACTCTGTTGGTACAATGTGTTCCAGCCAGCCTCCAAAAGCTTGAAGTGTGTCCTTCAACTTGGTACCATATAGAAAGTGAAGGTCTTTTTAGTCTTTAGGACGAGAGCCAGCACAGACAAATCAGCTGTTGATGCAGTTTGAAATGGAGTGGCAAGAATGTACATCCAGTTTCCGATGGGAGAGGAAGTAAAAGAAAACCTTGCAGCAGGCCTTCATGCTACAAATTACAAAACTGAAATAGTTGTCTTAAAACCGTAGCTACTTGATTCGGAACCCACCCACATTCCTCTTGCAAAGTGGTCCTCCTCACACACGCCGTTTTTGTACTTAAGTCCTTCAATCAAACAGGGACTGTAAGCTAAATGACCTGCGAACAACTATTGCCAAACCTGCACTGTTGTGCTGCAGTACATATCATTTCTGCCCCCTCCCCCTCATCTCCTTTGCCCCCCTCCTCTGGGCTCTTAACTCTTTCTGCAGCTTTTCTACTGCTACTCCTTGACTTCTTCTTACTGCTGTCTTTCAGCCACATCCCTGATCTTATGGTAGGTAAAATCTACACCTAGACTTCTCGGATAAGGGCGAAAAATCTCAGAGGTCTCGTGTGCAATTTGCGCACGTTAAAGATGTCTTGGTGGTCCAAAATCGATTAGAGTAAGCTTCGGCTGCCTCCCGGGCTAAATTAAAAATTTCCTACCAACTGAAAATGTTTAATGTGTCCAGCACGCTCATATGACCTTATGCAGTTGCCAGCATCGTAAAACTTACAAAACAAAAAAAATGTCATCTCACTTCAACTTGTGTGGGAATGAAACAGCAGATTCCTTAGTAACAGAAAGATCCTGATCAGAGCAGCCTGAAAAAAGGAATCAGAGGCCATAACTATCCTACTTTCCCGATCCAGCAGCCTTCTGAGTTCTAGCCCTTTGGCCTGATAAGTATCATCAAAATGGGGCTATATGTAAAGTGAAAGGCACAACACCCATGTTTCAATCAGGCTGACTCCCACAACCTCCTCACCCATGAAGTGCAAGTTGTTCTATTCAGACTCATAACAGGTCATAACTGCCTGAAACACCATCTCTACACAAGTTCAAGATCAGCTGCTCAGAGTAGTGTCCATGTGGGAATGGCAGCCAAACATGAAATCACAAACTACAAGCCTATTCACTGCAGGATGCACTTTGTAGGAAGTATTTGCTCAGCCCTAGGCAAGGAACCTCAAAACTCTATAGCAGCCTTCACACAAGAGACTGGGATGTCTATTTAGAAATGAATGAGAAGAAGAAGACTAACTTTTATGATATTCTTGTTTACCTTTTACCTTTCTTTAGCTTTTGGATTCAGCAAAATGAAGCATTCCTTTTGGAGAAGTGAACATGTTTTTATTTTATGACACCCTAATTATGTAATAAAAGATCCATCATTTAACAACAGAATGTGTTTCAGAAGAGCTTAATTTTGTTTTTACATAGCCAGGGTTCAGATAGAGAACATCCACTGTATTTCTCTTCACATGGGGTTATCAGAAATGGACTCTAGATTTAGAGATCCCACCTCTAAGATAACCCCATAATATTTAAAGGGGTGTCATACTATACTAATGGCATACACTTTAGGATACAATTTGGTTCTATCTCCAAGGCTCCTCAGTTTTTGTTTTCTAGGTCTCAGTTGAATGTATTTCATGGGGGAAAAAATTCTCAAGGCAACAAAATGTACCCTCCTCTGATGGTATACCTTGACACCATCTTAGGATTAGATTCCTTCCCCTAATGAAAAATGTTAAATAATGATGAAAGAGATCCGTCTTCATCTAATGATTTAATTTTTTGTTGTTCTCGTTTGATTCAATCAACAGACCAAGATGTTCATCCGGTGTTATATTTGTTGTTTTGGTGCCTCTTGCCCTTCTGGGAACGTCCGGAGCCCTGGGAATATCTAATTCAAGTCAAGGTAACTTCTTAAGTGCAAATATGGGCCATAAACATAAAAGCTATGACATTTTTTAGAAATTAGTGTATTTAATTAGGAGTGCAGTCAAAGGGGCCAAGTTCAAAGCAGGATTAGTTCCTTATGTATATAATGTTACAAATTTCAATGAAACAGTTTTTTTTTTTGGGGGGGGGAGGGGGAAAGCAGTGGGCACTTGATCCTCTCACAGTCTCCGTGTATTTGCTTCAAACACCACTGTCAGCTTGTAAGTGCATCGGCTTTTGATAGACTCAGCCAGAAGACGTGATGTGATGCCTTAGCTGATAAGGAGTGTAGGTGTAGCGAAGAAAAGAGTTGGGGGGGGGAGGGGACCCTATAGGCAAGGAAAGAAATCTAAGTTTTGTTTGCATACTTAGACAAAACTGAGCTCTGCTGGTTAATCGCTAAGTGGTTTTCAATTGATTCTGTCATTTGTTCCTTTTATGAAGTCAAAGCGTCAGACTTATGTCGTCGTAGATTGAGTTGGTCCTCCATTAGTAAATTTTCCCTGCCACTCACACTACATTGCGACTTGTTCTGTTTCATAGTTTCAATGTGCTATCAAGTCAAAGTGACAAATGCAGTGTTGTAAAAGATTTCTTGGAAGCCTGAAGCCACTGGTTGCACCACAAACATCAAACAAGTTTCACAAAGATGAGCACTCACGTGTACATGAAAAAAACCCAACAACCCGAAGACCCCCAAGAATTGGGTAAAATGTAATGTTAGGTGAACAGGACATTGTTTGGATTTCCTGTACTCTTCAATAGTCTTTATAGAATATACCTAGTTTTATTCTGAGACTGGGATCCTTCTTTTCATATTGACACTGACAATTGGAGATCAGGCATGTTTTAAGGCTTCATATTTTGTGAAAGATGGGGGTTATCATTTTTTTTTTAAAGATTAATTGGTTATGTCCTGTAACATTTTGTCATTCATCCTTTCTTTCTTGACAATTTCAGTTTCTTTCTATTCCACAGATCATGAGACTATGTTTGAAATGGTTTGGCTGAGCTTGTCCCTTTCAATTGTCCTTGTTACCAAGTACTTTTCGGAAGCCAGGGTTTTGTGTGGTCTTCTTCCTTGCTTCCTGATATTAGGATTTGCTTTACCATGGATCTTTTCAACACCTAGTGAGTTGATTTTACTATCAGTCTTGTTTAAAAACAATTAAGATTTTAGTCAAACAGTAGTTTTGTTCTGTCTCAGTCTGGCTTTAAACAAAAATTTAGTGTTGCCTTTTATTAACATTGTTCCTGCCGTATATAGAAAGCAAAGGACATAGTAATTCCCAGGAAGCTAAAGTGGAAAGTGTTCTTTGAAATGAAAGAGAACCTTTTTTTAACATGTATTAAGCTTTTAATGTACTATCTTGGGTGCTTTTACTAGTTTCATAGCCAACACTGACGTTGCTAAAATAGTCTTTTAAATATAACAGAAAGCAGAGCAACCTGTGTTGATCATTCCATCATTCACTCCCAAGCAGGTTTTCAATTTAATCCTCCTAGCCCCATAAATAGGTCGGCAGGTCATCAAAGCAGAACCAAAATGGTTTCCCAGAACTGAGTTATTTTAGTGTTTAGTGTTTTTTAGAGGTTGAGGGGGTGTAGCAAAGAAATTTTGATCTAAGCCATGTATTTCAATGAAATTTCATATACAAAGACCTAGGACGTCAGTATCTAAATTCAGAATGGAGTGTCCTTATTAATTCTAAGCCTACACAAAAGGCGGGCGTGTCAGGCTGGTAAAAGCAGGAAAACCGGTTAAAGCCGGTATAGCAACATGACGGGAAAGCCGGTTTAGGCTGGTATTACTCTAAAAGGGTTACGTTCTCTTTATTGTAAAGAAAAAGGATAACTATTATTTACCTATTTGTCACTCCTCAACCTCTCCTTCCCAACTTACATCTATGTCAATTTCCTTTCTATTCACAGGGCAAGCTGTTCTGATGGGCATTTTTAATGTAATAGTATGGAGAGGTATGGATTTGATACCATCTGCCTTACCAAAGTCTTTCACTTTTGGAGAACTTGCTGTCGTGTTACAACTCATTGTCAGTTGGGCCTGCAGACTGGTCAGTGGTGTGTCTGAGGTAAATCAATGTGTCATGACATGGTAGAATCAGGCTCTCGTCAATTTTTGGGCATGTAGAGTAATTAGTAGTATCATCTTAAAGCTTGTTCATTTGTCTTGCTTTGGATGAAAAAAATATCCATTTATTTTTGTTACACTCTGGATATTTGTGAATGAAGGAGGTGGGGGTCACCTGGTTTCAGAGGTAAAATTAGTGGGAAAATGGCCGCCAAAGATGAGTTATTTCCTTAGCTTGGGAGTCTGTGGAAACTGAAAATTTACATTTTTTGTGCCTTTAATCAACGTTTTTGAGTAAAATCCACACAGAAATGTGTTCTTTAATGTGCATAAAAGGTGTTGAGCCAAAAAACCAAAATTCGATAAAAATTCACAAACCTGCGGAAAAATGCCAGTTTCTTCACTTTTATTATTTTGACGAGCGCCTGATTTTACCACGTTGCCTCACAAATGTTGTTAACTCCATCTTTGCTATTTTGCAAAAAAAGGTTTATGTTTAGAAGCATTCAACTATTGATCTCAGTAAAGTGGACTCTTCAAGCACTTATGCTGAAAGTGTATGACTTCTCTCATTTTTCAATACACTTGCACATGGGTTAAAATATTTTAGATTTAATACTTGTTGTGATAAATGTATTCTAAGAATACTGAGCTCTGATATGTAACTGTCGATGGTGGGGAAAAGCACTTTTTCTTCTTCTGCTCCCCTGCTAGATCTCAGGAATAGTTGACTACTGGTTTTTCAACCTGCAGTGCAACTGATTTTTACGTGTGTGACTGTTTTTCCTATTTCATGGGGCCCCTTGCCTTCAGGCAACCCCATTCCACTTTTGAAGGTACTCTATATGTTTTTGTACTGCTAGAGAATTGATAGTTTTGTTAGGAATTCATTTTGAATTTTGCCCTGGTTTGGGCCAAATCAATGATAGTACATAACAAGATGGGCCACTTCTCTCTTTGAGCCAATTAAAAAAGTGTCCTCCAAATTTGGTGGCGCCCTCTTCACAAAAGCGCACTCTTTGCGAACAGAGTTACCCTACTTGAGTTTTAAAAAATCAAAGTGAAACTAGCAAGTTTTGGGATAAATTTCGGAAGAACGCTTTTTTAAAATGGTTACGCTGACAAAAAACCTCTTCCGGAGGAAAGGGTGATGGTTTTCTTTGTTTAATTTGACTTTAGAATGAAAGGCGAGAGGTCATTAAAATATATAAAAAACTAAAACTCCGCACTGAACGTACCCGAACTGCTGATGAACAGCAGTCGATCTGCGCACGCAAGGAGGTGCTATTCCTATTCTTCTTCTGGAAAAACGAAAGAGAGCTTCAAAACAGACTGCAGCGCCATCTGAAGCAAAGAGCATACTTCCTGCGGACACTTTTTTGGCTGAGTGGCCCATCTTGTTATGTATTATCATTGGCCAAATACTACTCCTATTGATTTTAAGACCATCAAATGATCTTTATAGTGCAAAACTTGCACACAGGTCCTCCAAGATATTTTGCTCTTATCCAAGTAGGCTAGGTGTTCGATCTTACCTACCCTAAGATCAGGGTTGTGGCTGAAATGCTGCAGAAAGAAGGAACCAGGAGTAGCAGTAGAAGGAGTCTGGAGCAAAGGAGAGAAGAGCCCAGAGGAGGCCAAGGGTAGGGGTGGAGGGGGGGAAATAAAGTGGAGATGAAAGCAGATGGGGGAATAGACTAGATAACAGGAAAGGACGTAAAAGGAGGAAATTTTAGGGAATGACATTTTTTTCATAGCTGTCAGGTTTCGAACCTGTGACCTTTTGAATGAGAGGTGAACACCATATCTCTAGACCTCCTGAGTATCTGAAAAAGCACTTTAAGGTAAGATTCATTTGCTCATGCATGCGATGCAAAATAAGATTATACAAAATGCAGTGTTTTGTATGATTCAAGTTTGAGCTGCTCTGTGCAAACATAATTTTTGGTTGTTTTGGAGACATATCAATATTATCAAGTTATTTTTATGATTAGTCAAGTGGTTTTATGCAGTTTGAGGTAAAATGCTTACTTGGCTGAATGTAAATACCTTTATATGTTATTTTGATTGCAGGTTTACGAAATTGATGAAGATGACCTAAAACTGATGTGGTTTATCAATGTAAGTTAAAGAGGGTATGTTTACCATCTGTTGAAAATGTGTGGGTGCACCAATAGCTGCATTGGTATAGTTCTGGAGAAGGGTGTGGAGGACCTAGGTTCAAATCCCCCACATGGCATCTTTGGATTTAGGTTGTTTGTTGAGTTTTCAAGTCTCTCCTATGATATTTGTTTCAAGTCTATCAGGATGTAAGATTCAGAGGTCATGCCTCTACAATAATATTGCAGTATGGGTGTTGACCAATACCATACCTTCATAGATAGAATATGTGCCTGGTGTAGAAATCAGGTAATTTACCATTTTGTTTCTTTGGCAAAATTATGTTCAACCTTTACTTTACTTTCTAAGTTTGCCTCATGTTTCATTCACAGTCATATTTAATCTATTCACCCTTGAAGTATCATGAAAAAGTTTTCAACTTTATTGAGGTATAATGCTAACTAGAATGCAAATACCATTATATGTTATTTTGATTACAGGTTTACAAAATTATGCTGACAGTTTTATAATTTACTATGCAAAAGTGTCTCAGAATAGCAACAGACAGCCCGTTACGTATAACTGTTTTATAACTGTTTGATAATGATGACACATTGAAAATTTTCAATAGTATATTTCATTTCTTACTGACAGGTTTATAATCTTTTGCAGTTTTTTTTTCTTTTTTTTTTCACAATTGTGTTATTTAATAATGTCTTTGCACCATGATGGATTGATTGGTTCCTTGATTTACTTTGCTTCTCACTTTCCAGACTGTGCTGATTTCTGTGTCAACAGCCACGCTTATTGTGTGCCTGTCAGGATCCTATTCATCACTAGTTGCGACTTCTGCAGTCTATGTGTGCCATGCGGGGATATCTTTAGTTTTCCTTCACAGTCAGATCAGGGAACAGCCACTCTTGTGGCTCATTGGGTACATCTTCAAGTCTTGTCCACGGGTTAGTTCCTTGTTTGTTTGTTTTTTTAACCCTTTTTTTTACCCTCTCACTAATAAAAAAAGATTTTAATGAAGGAAGAAGAATTAACAATTGCGTTGTTCTTTGAAGAGAGATTAATTTCATTATATTCATGGAACCACTAAAAAACATAATAATGTCATAATTGACATCATGAAATTTAAGGACTCTATTTTTCTAAATAAAAGAGAGGACTTTCCATGTACTATGGTTTTTTGTTCACTCACCCAGTCCTTGAATGAATAAGCTCGGTCAGTGTCATGTGTAGCGTAGCCAGCATTGGGTCAACAATATATTGCATTTCCAAGAGCATTTCTCTCATTAGCAGTTTGCTTTCAGCATCAAGAATTTTTTTTATTGCAACAGATGGTTCTCTCTTCAAGTTTTACTTTGTTTGTAAGACCCTACTGAATATCTGGTGGTTAGATGGTTGTACAATTTCACCTTGACTGACTGGGTTTTTGTCAATCAGTGCAGTTTGTTGAAATAATTACAGGTATATTTTTTGCGCTCCTCCATGCTATCATGATCTCCAAGTGTCTTTGTAAATCAATTTTGATAAATGATTACTTCATTATTCTGAGAAAAAAATGATGATAAAACTCTACAATTGATTTCTGTTAGGATATGATATTTGAGATTTCATAAGGTAGATTGAATTTCATTCCTAGAGATGTGTTTTTAATGTATAGAAATGGTATATTGAGACCATTATTCTCTTACCTTGTGATGAATGTCTTTCTTTGGTCTTGTGGTAGATAGGTCTTCACCCTATCCGTACGCCCTGAGGTCATTTTGTACCCCCGTGGTTGTATTCTTCACATTTTAGAATACTTTTAGTACGAAGATCTCTTTGAAACTTTCAGTATTTCTCAAAAAATAATTTTTACAGACTGGTATGCAAAGCGTACGGATCGGATTAACGAGTAAATTTCCTCTTTTGAATGTAGTGGCACAGGGTTTCCCATGTTGTATGGATACGATAATAAAACACGATGTACGGATAGGATTAAGTCTGTTCTGCCATTCAAAAATTTTTTGTTTGCCACTTTTGCTCTTTGGAAGTGACTATTTCTTCACAAGTGTTGGCATCTTTATTTCAAACTCAAAGTGTTGATGTTATTGTGTCAACTAATGCAGCTTTTCCTAAGATCTCAAGCGTTTGCCCCTGTGTGAAATTTCTGTTCTTCATCCTAATCTATGTTTTTCTTTTTTCTTTTTTTTTTTTTGTGTTGTTGTTCCAGGTCATGCTGTTGGTCATATTCATCTTAATGCTTGCATTTGCTTTGATCTGGACTACAGTTCAGGGATTACAAAGTCAAGTCCAGCTTCGACAGTCCAAGCCATGTGATAGTGACACTCCACAAATGAACTCAAAGACAGATAAAAGTACTCGCAGAAATGGGAATGACTTGCTCAGGGAGGTTGATGAACCGAGCCAGGAAAGCTCTAGAACTATCAAGGGACTTGATTCAAATATGGAAGCTCGAAGGAATAACTTAATTGAGACGAGAAAAATATTTCATTTATTCATCTTGTTGGTTTATGTTCCTGGACTGTTGCTGGATCCAACTTTCCTGCTCTTGTCGTCTGGCTGTGTCTTTGGGGTGTTCATCATTCTGGAGGTATGTAAATCAACCTGTCTGAAGATCATGTAATCATAATAATATAAGAAGAATAGTCAGTGATGATGATAATAATAATAATGATAATAGTAATGATGATAATGATAATAATAATAATTTTAAGAATTATGATTATAATAATAACAATAACAACAATAATGCTAATAATAATAATGATGGTGATGATGATGATGATGATGATAATAATAGTAATAATAATAATAATTTAATAAATGTAATAAAGTATAAAGCCAATTGTTAAAAGTTCATCCATCAATGTGTGACAATAACCAATACATCTATAAAGGAGAATACTTTTTAAAGAGAAATAGAAGGAATTAGGATTAAGATCGCCTGAGACTTTTGCAATGGCCAATGAGACAAATTCTGTCAGAGAAGAGTTTGCCACATTTCGAGCATTTAAAAGCTTCGTTTCCACTTATAGATGTGCATGGCTTGCGGGCTTCTCTCTAGGCTTCAGCATTAGTAATTTGTGAAACTTCATGATATGATTTGCTGCTCTCTGTGATTGCTGCTCTTCAACAGGGTATGCCAGGAGCTAGGTTCTCTCATGTAAAACGATTAATGTTGAAGTCCTTCGAGACATTTTCAGGGTGTCTTTATGACCCGTTTTTGATGTGCTAATTAACATCAGGACAGTTCAGAATAGAATACTGCTTTTGAGATTCTGAAATCAGACATTTTTTCAACATAACCTTTTGAGAACTGTTGTGTCTGGTATTTTTTCCTGACATTTGATGCAAAGAATTGTCCAGAGACATTTCATGAGCATATGATTGAGCTTCTGAATTCATTCACTTTAGTTATCAAGAAATTATTTTGTTGCTGTTGTTCATCTTGAAGTCCTTTCTTCGGAAGGCCAAAGGAGATGGAAAAAATTGAACCGTTTCTTCCAGTTACGCGCATCAGCTAATGTGCGGTTATTATTCATACTCAGGGGTTCTACTGAACTCAAATTGTCGAATTTTTCACACAATTTCATTATCCCGATTCTTTGATTTTGATGGAGCTGAGTCTCGTAGGTCAGGTTAACTTTTTTGACCTTCTCACCTCTCACACATACAATACACACACAAACACACACACAGACACACACACACTTGCATATACACACACTCACACACAAACACACACACATGCATACCAACGTACTCTCTCCCATGCACAGACACAAACACACACTCGCATGCACACACACACACACACACACACACACACACACACACACACACACACACACACACACACACACACGCGCGCGCGCGCGCGCGCGCGCACATACATACACACATACTCATTGACGTACGCACATGCACCAGTACACACACACACACACACACACACCCACACATGCACGCAAATACACACACATGCACACTCACACACACACACACATGCACACTCGCACATGCACACACACATGCACACTCGCACATGCACACACACACATATACTCAAATACACACGCACGCACACACACACACAAACGCATACATACATACTCTCTCACACACACACAGACACTAACACACACTCACATGCATACTCATACACATACACACATGCACCAGCACACACACATGACACACAAACACACACACATACAAACACACTCACATGCATACGCACTCACATACAAACGCATGCTCACAAAATCTCCACCCTGAATGCCTAGGCTTCGAGGGCTTTACAAGTTCCACTGATTGGGAAACTGCTGGATGACGTTCAGAGGAGTTTTGTGGATGAGCGGGACCAAGGTGTTGTGTTCTTGACTCACATCTACCTTCTGGCTGGGTTGTCTCTTCCTTTGTGGATATCTCCAAATGTTTTGACAGGTAAGCTCTTTGTTCTCAGAGAATCTGGCAACAGTTTCGTATATCCCACCTTATGTTTTGATTAACTGAATTGGTACTTTTTGTTTTGATGAAAAGTGGTCCTCTCAACCCTCCCCCAAAAAATCAAGGCAACAAAAAACAAACAAGCTCCTCTGAAAAAAATAACAATGGAAAAAAAATCATACGAAATCCTATCTCCCCCAGGAAACAAATTAAAAATAGACAGACCAGACCAGACAAATAAGAAATCCAACTCAAAACACTTCACAACACGTCCTATAAATAATTTTCAGCTTGATTAACCAGTCTTAATAATAGCTACAGCTACAACGTTGGATTCTAAACAGCTAAAATAAGTATGGAAACTTTGCTCTTTAGTTTTTTCACAGTTGCTTTTAAATTTGCAAAATTGAGTTTAGCAGTTTAGATTCCTGTAGCAATGTTGTACACCCTATATAATTTTTTAACTTTAGTCTAGAAAAGAAAATGAACTCTGCTTTTGTTTGTAGACAATTCGAGAATACAATGCAGAAAAAGAATCTTATCATAATTTCTCAGATGAAACAAAGATTTAAAGTTCCTCTGAAGAGTCTTCAAAATTCCAGTTTCACGCCATTTCAATATTTCTTGAAAGTCAAAGAAACCTGCGTTCTTGTGCCTGTTGGGCAATTTTAAATATTTTTCTTTTTTTTGTTCAACGCTTTTTATTTCCATTTAAAACACATTTCTTGTGGATTTTACTGAAAAATGTTGAAAGGCACGATAAAAAAAATGTAAATTTGCAATTTTCAAAGATCCTCAAGTTTTTGAAGTCACCAAACTTTGGCACCATTTTCTCTCTAATTTTACCTCTGACAGGAGGCAACCCTACCTCCTTCAACCGCACGTATCTTGACTTCTATTCTAGATGAATGGATATTTTTTCTATCAGAAGCAAGATAACTGAATAAGCTTTAACTTTAAGATCATACCAACAGCTCCCTATGCCCCAGAATTGATGAGTGACTGATTCCACCCCGTTGTGACACAAATGTTTTTACACCCTTATCAACATAATTTGAATCACTGGTAGCATATAGGGGTGTGTATAAATATCATTTATTGTTTTAATTTTTCCTGGAAGTCAGTGTATGCAATGTTGTGTCCACAGCTGATCTAGCCCCTCTGGAGTTGTACAGCGGTGTCCTGGCTCTAGGTATCGGCGATACTATAGCTTGTATTGCAGGAAGAGCTTTTGGAAGGATACGCTGGCCTGGTATGTGATTTACTTAGATCATTTGTATTTCAGGCTTGTTTTCTCTCTTTCATTTTTCTTTGAGAGAGGTCAGTATCTCCTTACAATTGATTCTGAGTTGGCAATTAGCAGCAATTGCAGATTTTTTTTTTGGTGGTCTGTTTACCTTGCATAGCATATTGGGCACATTATGTGCTTATTTGCACAGTTTTTGAAAAGGGCAAAAGTCACTGATAGTTAAGGGGGTGGGGGTAATGCATTTTCCCATTGCACAGGGTAAGAGGGCCCGTTGGACTGTTTGGCAGGATTCTTACAGAGGGATGTGAAGATTTGTCCTTGGGTGTACATGCATGATATTTACTTGAATGTATGGTCTCCATTTTCTTTCCAGTGTTCATTCTCCTTCTTTACTTCTAACTGTGGTCCACCTCATCATGTCTCTCCTCCCTCCCCCCCCCCCCCCAATCCTAATTTTTTTAAAATGAAAGAGCAAAAAGGACAAATAGATTATATACATATATATATATTATATATATATATATATATATATATATATATATATATATATATAATATATATATATATATATATATATATATATTTATATATATATATTTGTTTAAAGTTTTGAACTTACAAAATAATGTGGTTTTACTTTCTTCTGCATGACTGGTACTGTCAACAACTTTTTTTTTCTTTTTGATGATCACACAGGAACAAAGAAGACAATGGAAGGCACAGCATCTTCAGTATTGGCTCAGCTTGCTTTTGTTGCTGTAACTTCTTCATCTGGTGATTTCATTTTTTTTTCAAACCCTTACTTTACACAATATTCATGTATTTTTGTTGTCTAGCATGCAATGCTTTTCTTCATGGTGTCAGTTTTGCCCATGGTTTCTGTGTATGTTTTGTTTGCCTTGAACACTCAGTATCTGTGAAAACAGTAACTTGCAGGTCTATCTGTTATTTTCATACTGGTAGTTTGCCTTTGTAATGTAATTATTCCGTTGTGTCTTGAAAGGCATCTTGAATATACTTCCAATATTAATGTTTTCTACTTTTTATGGATATGGCCTACCAGTTGTAGGAATACATCTCTTCTTTCAGTTGTAACTAACTTATTTACTGAAATACCCCCCAAAAAATTATGATAACTTTTATCTTTTTAGATGCATTAGCATCTGTGTAAGAAGGAGCCCTTTTGTGCATCTTCTGTATTTTTAGTGCCCGTGATGAAGACTAACAAGGGAGAAAAAACATTCTCATCTCAGGGTAAATAACAGTTGTTAACTTTGTTATTAGTTTTTTGTGTGTGTTTAATCGTCCTGTTTGTGTTTGAATTTCAGGGTTGCTGACTGTGGAGAGCTACACATCAGTAACAGTAGGGATTGTGCTCAGTGGCCTGGTGGAAGCATTCACAGACCAGATTGACAATTTGATACTGCCTCTAGTTCTGTACCCTTTCCTGTGCTCATAACATTTGCTTTCTGAATTTTTGAAGTCCAGTAAAGCTTGTGATAATTCATCTCATATTGGGGTGAAATTTTTCTACTGTATGAAGAGAAATGCTTTTGAAAACTTCAATTTATCATGGATACCCCTGAAACTGCTTTTTAGTTTGTGTTCTTTATTTCTTTATTGCCTTATTGGTAAACCTATTGTAGTCATCATGTTTACATTGATATCAGAACCAGGAAAGCTTGACTTTCTTTTTTGATGTATATTGTGTTAAAAACATTTTTTTGTTTGTTTAACATTGTTCTTTTGGCTACAGTACTTTATTAGAAATGTTCTTTACATTTAAGTGGGTTACCTAAATCTGGTAGGAATTCGGTAAGAATGTTACATGTCTTAATATCATAGACGTCATACTGTTCTCTCCATGACCAATGTAATCCCTGTACAGAGGTTTGTTGGTGTTGTGTGCCTTCAAGTTGGGGGTTTAACGGTCTCCCGGCGAGTAGGGATTTCAGCGAAAATCCCGGTTTTTCTTCTTTCTCAACTCATAACTTTATTAGTTCTTAGCCTAGCATCATAAAACCGACATGAAATGAGAGGTCTATATGTGCTTTTTGTTTCCGTGTTAGTTTAAATGGGGAGAGAAATGCGTAACATTATAGATTTTTTAGTTAAAACTACAAGGTTCGTTACGCGTTCTGCAACAACAAAAGGCACGCAAATTTTGACAAATTTAGAGCGCAGCACATTTCGGACGGTTTATTGGAGCGGAATTTTCCATCGCTAATCGTTCTCGGTGGATGTAGAAATCACGTGATTCTGTAGTAAAATTGGACGCTGAAGAGTTTACAACCCACCCGGAGTTTGTAGGACGCTTGTGTGAAAAGTTATGGCAAAATATATATTTTATTATCAAAATTTAAAAAAAATTAACAATGGAAAACGCTCCCGGGGCAAGTTATATTGATAGATATATCATCAATTAGCTCTCTAGAAATGTCATTTTTGTTAAAAATGATTAAAGTTTGGTAGAAGAAAATCAAAACTTTACTACACTACCCTAGTTCACTTCGTGTGGTAAAAAAATTTTTCAAAGGATATTGAAAAATGTGGTAGGCTTTGGTCCTCCTCCAATGTGATGAAAAGAGTGAATTCTTATCAATCCAAGGAGGAAAAGGTTGATTGAAGAAAGCGCAGGTCAAGTACTAGAAAATCTTGATCGATTGGGAGGGCTCCCTGTCAAAATGCGTTTACCCAGACTCTGTGTGCATTAAGCAGTAGTCATTGGGTGCAGATTAAAAAGAAATTGAAAAATCTTGATGATAAGTTCACTTGGCAGCAAAGCAAGGTGAAATAATTAGTTTTGAACTCCTCAGAAGAAGGATATTATTATTTCTCTTGCCAAGTTCAGCAGCTCAGAAGCCCATGTTACTTTGAACTTCAGTTGTTAAAGGAAAAAAAATGGAATTTTTTTGTTGACTGAGAATATTGCTGGTCAGATAAATGGTAATATGGCATGGTATCATAGGGAGTTTACTTATTATGTACTTTGCCTCCCCTTTGCAGCCTCTGTTACCTTTTATTTTATACTTATGGTGTCGAGGGGAGAAGCAAACATCTTTCTCTTGATTGTTATGCATGGTTGTATATATTGGTTTTGTTTAATATTTCTCCTACTTCTCTAGCAGTTGAAAACATCTCTGTGTTGTTGATTTATTAATGTTATTATTCTGCCTTTCCTGCCCTGCTTCTTCGTGTCTTTAAAATTTTTTTATTTAAATGTAGGTGATTTTACACCCGCTTCCTGTCTGTTTGGGCCAACCTGGGCTGAGAGGGATACAACTTCACAGTAGAAAGACAGATATACAAGATAACAATGTTCTCCCCTCTTGGGAATCAACACTAGGTCTCCTGCTTATGAAAGCGAAGCTCTTCACCGCTACACTAGAGACGCTGGTTCTATTCCTCTGTATCCATCTGATCTTTGGTTGTAATGTATGCTCTTACATTGGAAGCATCACTTTTTGCTAATCTGAAGAATGTATACTTTTGCTCAAGACTGTTGGCATTCTTATGGAATTAGATTCAAAATTACTAAAGTCAGGCACGAATAATTTAAATACATTGGGGATGAAAAATGTCCTCGACACATCCATAATTCAGGTTAAGGGCTAAAGGTGATGAAAAATGGAGAGATATCAGTCAGGGAATAGCAATTTGTACGAGCTACTCATGATTTTCAGTTTCTGTGTTTGTGTAGTCCATGCCCAACTACATTCTTTTTTTTTACGAGGGGGGGAAATATTTAAAAAAAAAAAAAATGGCGCTTTTTTACAGTTCGTTAGATGCGCATTGTCGTGCTGAGAAAATATATATTTTTGTACACTTTTGACTTAAAACATTAATGTTATGTCACTTTTAAGTCAAAATCTGTTGCGGGTTTTGTCAATGGCGGCCATATTTGGTCACATGACTTTACATATTATATTACGTAACACATTGTTTATCATGCAGGCCATTACATAACCTTTCTGGAAATGTACGATTGTCATATGTTTTGCAGGCAACGTTTTCTTTGAATTAAGGAAAACGGTTGCTAAGTTGTCTTTCTCATGCCTCATTTTGGCACATCCTCTTGTCTATAAATAATTAATTTCCACGAAAAATGCTCTAATTCACAACAAAAAACTTGCATAACTTTTGAACCGTTTATCCAATCTTCATGCTGTTTTTTAAAATATTTTGGTCTAATTACAGTAGTCTCCGCCTAAACGCACGGTGCTTGGGAGGGCTCCTTAGCGTATGTTTATACGGAGCCTGCGTTTACATGAACCTTAGCAAAGGGACGCAGTCATCTCATTGCCTTGATATTCTAGTGACCTCCCTTTGGGGTGGGGGTCACTTTGGGCCGATAATGTGACGACATGTGACTGTTTTGTAAAAGATTCCCGGACTGTGGTTAAGACTTTAAAGGCGTTGAAT